GAAGACACAGAGAGAGAGAGAGAGAGAGAGAGAGAGAGAGAGAGAGAGAGAGACTACAACCATAAAAAAATAAAAAAATAAAACATCCAGGTTTGGGATGCAGCTCAGGGATGGAATGCCTGCTTTGCATGCACAAGATCCCAGATTCCATCCCCAGCACTGCCCTAAAGATGGAACTTGGCCACCAAACACAGCACTGTGAGCAACAGTCTGACTTTCTCCCTAACTTAACCACAAGTCAAAGTAAGATGCTTCTAGATCTGTGTAGTAACATGTTAGCTATTAACACTAAAACAGAAGTGAACAAGGCTATGATTTAACCCAAGGCTCAGAAGCGGGTCCCTCGGCAACTTAACTGACCCCGAGGCATCCTCAGGGGAGTGGGATCTTGCTAGACTTACCCACCCACCTTTACGAAGCTGGAGCCTGGCTAGGACTTGTAGCAGAGGGATTTGGACACAGGGAGAGGCCCAGGCAGCTACTGCTTCTGCCACACTTGGTTTCTCCCAGGGCTCAGCTTTTCTTGGAGCCAGCTTTCTGAGAATGAACACCAAGAACATTCCTCCACATAGGGAGGCCATAGTGGCAGGGGTTTCAGGAGCAGTGAAGATAGGGCCTAGGCAAGAGTGGCCCATCAGACTGGCTCCTGCCCCAGTCCCAGCCCATTGTGACCTCCCTAGCTGTACTCAAGCCTTTGTGACTGTCATCCTGGGCAGACTTGTGAGATAGGGTGATATTCAAAGTGCCCTCAAAGAGAGTGGCAGGTTAGCCAGGCCAGAGCCTGGACCTGGGGTCAGGAAGGGGTCACAGGGAGGAATGGAAGGTTCAAAACCCCTGGGGCCCTATGGACACCCCTGCCCTCGGTGTCTCCCAGCTCCAGCCTCGAGCAGTCATGGAGGATGCCTGGATCAGCCCTGCCAGGGATTTGTAAGATGGCCCTGTCTGATCCCCTTTTCTTCCAATCCATCACTGGAATCTGCCAGACCTTTCCCAGCTCCAGGGACAGGGAATGAGGGGCCCAGGGTGGGAGGAGAGGCAACTGAGGTCTTTCTGTCAAATGAAGAAGGAGAGCTGTCATGACAGAGAGCTCAAGAGCCAGCAGAACCCAGACAAGGAGATGTGGAGGCTGGAGTGGAGTGGGGTTGGCCCCTAAGCTCAGGACAAGAGCAGGCATCACACAGGCAGGCAGGGTCCCCCACCCCAGGATCCAGGTCCTGCCTATGCCCAACCCTGCCTTCTGGAGGAGGGGCCCCAGTCTCACCCAGGCCAGCTCCCACGAAACTCCAGGGTAGGTCCCTGGGGTCCACAGAACAGTCCTTTCTGCAGCTGGAGCAGGAAAATCACAGCCTGGTGAGTACATGCCACAGGCCCCAACTGCACCTCAGCGTCCCTGCCCAGCCCACTTGCTTTGATTTCCTGCCTGAGAAGCAACCAGGACAGATGGCCCCATCTCTCTGTTGCTTGACCCCAGAAAAAGCAGAACCAGGATCTTCGGGAGCAGCTGGGAGCCCTCCTGGGCCCAGGGCAGCAGTTCCTGCCCCTGTGTGCTGAGCACTCAAGCTGCACAGCTATGGTCTGGGTAAGTGGGAACGGACAGCCCGGGACCCATGCAGGTGCACTTCCAGCTGCTCACAGCCTGGGGACTGATCCAGGGGCTCTCCTACAGTCCTCTGAGGCAGACAACACCCGGCCCCTGGAAGACAGGGCATCTGTGCAACTGTCGTGTCCAGAGCTGTGCCGGGGGGAAGAGTCCTTTGTGCAGCAGTCCCAGGTGGGCCCTGGCAGGAAGGGGCTTGGCCTGGGGAACAGGGAACAAGGAGCAGGTTGCCTGTGCCCACACTGCCCCTCCCCACCTAGAATGAGCTGCAACAGATCCGACTGTCTTTTGAGAGGAAGAAGATGGCCATCACTGAGGTGCCCACCTGGCCCTGGGAGGGAAACCTCTGCTGGATCCTGCTCCAGGGTGTGACACGGCTCCCCTACCCCTTGCCCCCAGGTGTGGGACGGTGTGGCTGAGGTACACATGGCTCTAAACAATCAGGCCACTGGGCTCCTGGTAGGTCACCAAAGGGCCATGCCCAAGGGAACATGGCAGGGATGGTGGTGGTGAGAGGCAGCAGGTATAGTACCACTCGCCTGCTTCACATCCTCTGCTTCCTAGAACCTCAAGAAGGACATCCAGGGAGTGCTGGATCAGATGGAGGACATTCAGCTGGAGGTTCTGGGGTGACGCAGGGACCCTGACTGAGTGGGGTCAGGATGGGTGGACCTGTCTTTGACCTCCAGTATCACAGTGAGGGTAGTGCCAAGCTGGGGGCCAGGGTCATTTGGTTCTGACAGTGTGGTCCCCCAGGGAGAGAGCCCATTGTCGCACTCAGACCCGGAAGGAACAGCAGATGTCATGCATGAAGGTAAATCCCCACCACATCCCCTCCCTTTCCAGAGGCCTGGCCCCATCAGGGTACTGCTAATGAGCAAGTCTCAGGGCTGGAGCCCTCAAAGAGGCCAGTGGTTACAAGACTGTCCTCGGGAAGCAGGGGGGATAGGGACACAGCTGGGCTGACCCACATTGGAATTCCTGCCCTTTGAGGGCACCTCAGGGCTAGGGACCTGCCCTCCCCCCAGAGCCCTTGGGTGCTCAAGACAGGCTCTGACCCAGCCTCCTTCCCAACAGAAAGGTGGGCCACAGCTGAGATGTTCTGAGGGCCTAAAGAGCCAGCTCTGGTAGGTCACTTCTATAGTCAGAGCCCAGTCCCATGAGACCCTCCCCATGGGCACCCCTTGCCTCCTAACTGCCACTGCCCACAGGCTACTGGCCTTGAGGCTATTGCTGGGTACCCTGCTGGCCTGCACTGCAGCCTATGTGTATGTGGTGGATCCTGCGCCCTTCGAGGGGCTAGTACCACCCCTGCTGAGCCGAGCCGCTGTCTGGAAGCTCAGAGCCCTTCTAAGCCCCTTCTTGCACCTCGAGGTGGACGACTTCCTGCCCTTCTAGTCCTGAGGCCCAGAAGTCCCCAGCAAGAGGAGGCCAGGTGGCCAGCGCTGCCCCAGCCCAGTAGCCTTGCCAGCCCCTTCCCAAAGCACCACTGTACACAGTCCCAACCAGGACCTGCAGAGAAGGATGGAGGAGGGGTTTGTCTTGAGGGCTGGGCCTGTGGCTGGACATACAGTCATGACACACTTTGTATGTGAGCTTGTTTCCATGAAAATTGGGGTGGGGGACAGAGGTTTGGGAACCTTCGAAGGCACTCTGTTGGTCTAGTAGCAGGGGTTTGCGGTGGGGCACCTGCTCAGATCCCAGCATCAGTGTTGGCTCCTCTCTGCCCTCAAGGGCTCTCCTCCACAAAGACCCCCTGGAGCCTCTGGGTGTGTCATGAGGGTCTTCCCTAAAACAGCTTGGGGGCCACTGGGGTCCTTGGTGCTCACCCCCTGGGCCAGGCCCTCTCAGGGACCTAAGGTCAGGGTCAGAGGCCCTGAATCTGCTCATCCCCTGGCTTTATGGTTCTCATGCAACCCCTACCCCCACCTTGTCACTTCCCCCAGGGCTACTGATCCCTCAACCCAGGGTCCCTGTCCAATCTAGCCTCCTGGCACTGCCCAAGGCTCAAGCAAGGGGACCACATTGCTGAATAGTGCCATGGAGGTAAACACAAAATTTTTATTAGGGGAATTGAGGGAGGGGTATCCTTTAGAACAACAGAAAACAGCTTTGTAGATTTCTTGTCTCAAAATGGGAGAGACAGAACTGCTGCCCAGAGTGGACCCCAGGACAGGGTCCCTGTGTGGGAGAGAGGGTTGGCAAGAGTTCCACCCTGATCTGCTCCTAGGGACATCCAGGTCCCGCGCTTGGGTGCTTCTAGAGGCATCACCCCTGGATGTAGATGACCCAGCAGGTGGGGTTGGAGCAGGCAAGAGACAGAGATGGATGGGCCAGGTCCATGGCTGACTAGTGGGTTGACTGGCAGCTCTAGGACTTTAAGGCATCTGTTCATGTGCTGGAGGTGGAGTAGAGGGAGTGCAGTAACCTGCAGGAACAACCTGAGACCCCCACCCCAGCCCAACCCACAGAGGCCTGGGCTCCCTGGGAAGAAGTGGCTTAAAGTGCTTGGAAGAAAGGGTAGAGAGGCTGGGGTGAAGGTCATGCTGGTCCCCAGCAGCTCTGGGGCAACCCCCAGTGGGGCATTGGACCCCTGCAGCAGGTAGGGGGACTTCCTGAGGTCACTTGGACACAGAGTCATTGGGCCCTGGCAGGCTGATCAGTCAAGATGTGACTGGTGGACAGGGGATGCCCCCAGGACACAGCCAGCCCCACCCAAGGCTCTATTGCAGCCTGGTCTCCTGGGTCCCCAGCAGGTTGTTCACGGCCTTAGAGCCGTCTTCTGGTGCCCTGCTAGGGCCCTGAGAGGCTTGGGAAAAGGCTGGACGCAGCAGAATGTAGCCGACACATGGTCCCTCGGGGGGGCGCCCCAGCGGCCGTGCTCCAGGGTGCCCGCAGCGGCGGGCGATCCTCGGGATGGCCAAGGTGGCATAGGTGCAGGCCGGGGGTCCCCCTGGGTGGACCACGCCACCCCCATCCACGGCTACAGGTGCCAATTCGCCCCCTGTGGGCCACAGGCATCCATGAGAGAGAAGCAGAAAGGTGGAGGTCAGCAAGGGGTAGGGCTATGGGACCCAAGGCTTAGGACACCTCCCTCTGTGTCTCTAAGACATCCCCTGTTCCTCCTTCCTCCAACCCTCGCCTGACCCCCAGCTCTGAAAGGCTGGGGCTTTCCTGGCACTCCCCAATCCCATCCTTGGCATATGGGAGATAAGAGTTCTAGAAAGTTCTAGAAAGTACAGCAACTCTTGTAGAGCTCCGAATCTGGTGTTGGTCCCATGTGTACCCCCACCTCCACCTGCTCCAAGCCCTTTGGTGCCTGGGAGCCCCCATGAACAGCTGTAGTCCCAGCTTTCCCATAAATTCTCTGTTGCCAAGCATGACAGAGACCGGGGGGGGGGGGCGCAGCGGGCAAGAGACCTTTCCACTTACCAGCCTGTCACGAGCTAGGCTTGACTTGGCTTGTCAACAAAAATGCCCAAGAGAGATGTAACACCCTGTGCAAGCTGGCCAACCCCTCTTTTGACTCCCTCCCCTGCACCCACAGCCCTAGCTTTGCCCAAGGAAAGGATCAAAATGACTTTTTCCTTTTTTAATAAAATTATAGATATATAGATGTAAATATAAAAACACAAAACAGACAATGCAAGCGGACGCTGCCATGTGCTTACTCGGGTCCCTGACGCCAGGGGGAGCACTGACCCCTCCCTGATGTGCTTTCCAGCTACACTGGCCAGGCCAGTACTGGGAACTCTGTATGCCTTGGGGTGAGGACTCTCCAGTTTGCCAGGGAAAGCCTGAGAGCAAGGGAGGGGGCTCTAGGCCTCACCAGCCCTTGGGGCAGCATCTGGCCCCCAGCCTGCTCCAGCCTGCCACCCCCTTCCCATCACCTCCCACAAGAGCAAAAGCAGAAGTTAAGGCTTTGATGAAAGGACAGCAGCGGCCGAGCACTAACACATCAGATGTGGCATGGCAGCACAGCACACAGACACAGGGACACAAGCCCACCAGCCGGGCAAGACAGGACACAGGAGCTGGGACCCTTGCCACGGTTGGCTGTCTGTCCATCTATCCACCCATTCATCACAACTCAGAGTAGACCAGGGTTATACCCCTACAGAAGCATCAGCCTTGCCAAGCTACAAGCTGCCAGCTGGGTCAGTGAAAGGCAACGCGTTAGGAGCAGCCAAGAGGGCAGGCCATAGCGACCCATCCAGACAGGAGTGGATGGGCCCATGGAACTGTTTGGGACTGGCCTTGAGGAATGAGGGTCATAAGGGGCAGGTCTGAGTTTGGCTGATGGAAGCAGTTCAGGTACCCCTCATAGCCCCACCAGGGCCACAGACCCAGAGCCTTGAACCCATCTGTCCTGTGAGCAGATGACTGGATGGACAGGCAGAGGGCAGAACACAAGCTTGTGGAGGCAGGGCTTTCTTTCCTGTTGATGTGTCCACACCAGGCTTGGGCAGCTTCCTCTCCCTGGGGCAGAGAAGTTGATGGGGGTGGGGGAACCACTGTGGGGGTCCCGGTCCCCGTGGAATCACAGCAGATGAGTGATGGTCAATTCTCACACCGAGATTTCGTACGTAGTCCCACCCACGCCGGACACCTTCTTAACCAGCGTGTGGCGGGCAGGGCTGGCGTTGGGCCCCACAGGGCCAGCAGCAGGCCCCAGCCGGGTTAGGCCTGGGGACTGCCCGTTAAGTTTACTTGGGGGGGTCTTCAGCTGAGAGTGATCCCTGCATCAAAACAAGCACACACATACACACATACACATACACACACACACAGTGAACACAGGACAGCGGGCGACAGGACACACACAGACATGGACTGGAGCCCTGTGTCCTGGACCCTGTGCAGTCTTTGCCCTAGAGGATTGTGCTGCCACAGGACAGACAGAAAGACAATGAGTTGCTGTCATCCTCCTGGGTCCCTTCTCTCTCCCGGTTGGATCAGCCAGAGAGCAGCTGGCCTCAGCCCTTGAGCCCTGCCCTACCCGTTGTGGTACCTTGAGTCAGGAGTCACCCAGCCCCCTCCCCACTCTTAGGAAAATAAAGGGTGGCACTTCTGCCCTCTGGCCTGGTCAGTACTAACTACTGTTCTCCTGAGGGCAGGGCCTCTTTCAAGCCCTAGCTAGTTTCTCACCTCACCACAGCCTCCCTTTTCCCCTGAGAAAACCAAATAGGCTCATAACTATGTAGGGTGGGGACCAGACCATCCACAGCTAGGCCTTTGGACCTTTATGGTCACATGGCCTGGATAGGGATCTCCCTCAGGGACTCATCTATGACCAGAAACAATGAAGCCAATGCTCAAGGTTGTTGGGGTCTGAGTGGGGCAGTACCAGGGTACACCTAGAGTGTGGACTTGATGTCACAGTATTCAGCTCTCCTACTGAGACTTGAGACTGTTAGGCAGTCTCAGTTACTCACCAGCCAAGTGCCTAGGAACAGTCTGTTCTTCCCCATTTGTAAGCACATAGGCCCTGCTTTCTGAGACTGTGTGCTCAGTGTGGCAAATTTTGCTGAGGCAATATCCATCAGTCTCAGCCTCCTGGACACGCATCAAGACAGGCGGGAGAGCCCCAAGCATACCCGGGAAGGTGGGAACCCGGGAACCCACAGCCCACCAAGACTGTTCCACATGAGGCCAGCTCTGGGGCCAGGGCCCTGAAGGCATGGTAAGTTCTATCCTCCCTTCACTGTCCCTGCAGACAACCCTAGGCTTCTAGGATGAGTTGGGGGAACCAAGCTGTTAGGAGCCCTGCTTGGGGAAGCCCATCCACACTTGTTGGCACCCACCTCTGCATAGCCAGTGAGGGCGGCCGTTCCGGGAGGTCTGTGTGGATGAAGGCCACCGCCTTGGGGCCTGTGTAGGAGGGCGAGCCGGGAGTGCCAGGTGGGGAAGGCAGGCCCTGTCGTGCAGGCGACCTGTGCGAACCACTGCCAGGCCGGGGTCCTGGGGCATTGTTGTTGGCCTGGTCAGCCTGCAGGGAGGAGGAAGATGTCCGCGGCGCCCGACTCATGGAGCTCGACAGTGAGGACAGCGATGTCTGCAGGGCGGGATTTCGGGCACCACCGAAGCCAGGCCCCGCCATGAGGTCATCCCTAGAGCCATAGCGCAGCACAGAGCCACGGGGCCCTTCGGATAACACACTGGCCTGCTGCAAGCTGTAGGAGCTAGGTGTGTCATAGACACCTGAGTCGCCAAAGAGTGAGTCAGCCTGGGAGCGCAGCAGCCTTTCACGCTCTTCCCTGTCCTTGCGCTCCTGGATAGAGGCCATGATGGTCCGAGAAAGGTTGTCATAGCGTACAGGAGAGGGTTCCCGAGGCCGGGGACCCAGTACAGGGCTGAAACTGCGGGGTGGGGGCCGTGGTGGATCTCCTGCTGCCCCAGGGTGCAAGTAGGGCGAGTGGTAGCCGGCCATGCCCACTGAAGGGTGTGTGGGGCATGTGTGGCCACTGGGTGAGCCAGGATTAAGCAGACTGTCATAGGACAAGCTGCCATTTCGGTTGGGCAGTGCATGAGGGGCAAAAAGACCACGGTGGGGTGTGGGGGGCCCACCCTCAGAGTGCAGTGGCTGCAAGGTCATGTGGTCCCCACCCCGCCGGCTGGCAGCCTTGAGACTCAGGGAACGCAAGGCACCTGAGAAGGCATCGGTGGTACTGAGGGGAGGGGAAGGAGGGTAGGCAGAGTGCAGGCCACCAGGCCCGTGGTCTGGGAGGTCCAGGCTGGGCTCAGACACAAAGTCTAGACTGTGGGTGCTGTCTTCCGCCAGAGTAAGGGAGTCAGGGCCTGGAACCTGTTGGGGGACAGGGTATTCTCACCACTACCCACCCCCAACTCCAGCCTACAGCCACTGAGAGCTCTGTACTCATATGAAGGCTGTGGGATGGCAGCCATTCAGCAAGGGCAACTAATATAATCTATAGAGCAAGAAGTTTCCATCCCTGCCTCCACATGCACCTCTCTCTCCTGCTATAGAAGGAAAACAAAACAGTACCCCAGTCCTAGAGGTTGTCTCCCAGGGAAAGGTGGTATGGGGCCTGCCTCTGCCCACAATCACCAGGGGGGCAATATGGGTCCTTCTCAGGACAACCAAGGGTGGTGCTCTGTAGCTCAAAGCCAAGCTGGCTGCTACAGACACAGGGGCTATGGTCTTGGGTCTTTCCCTGGGGTCTAACTGCTCAGGGTGGCCACAACCACGGGTGGGAGGGGCCTCTCCAGCCTCTGTGACTGGGGTTGAGCACAGGCCCCTCAAATTCCAAAGCAGATGAGGAAGCCTGACTCAACCCTTTGTGGATGCAGGACAGTCCTAGGAAGCAAGTGACACAGAAAGGTGTTTAAAGCCCACCTTTCCAAGCTGCACAACTCTCCTTCAGTCATAGGATAGGCTGCCATTTCTGTTGAGCAGTGTGTGAAGGACAAAGATCATAGGGGTGTGTGAGATGCCACCTTCAAAGCACAGCAGTGTCAGGGTCATTTGGTCCCCACCCCACTATCTGGCAGCCTTGAGACTCGGGAGCACAATGTTCCGAGAAAGCATCAGTGGCACACTGCCCTCAGGATGGACCCTCCGCCAGGGGTGCCCAGACAGGTAAGGGCAATGGGACAGAGGCTCTTGGGAGAGGTCCCTCAGGTAAATCTGGTCTAGATGCACAGGGCCAGCCTCTCAGTCATCCAGGAGGGATTGCAGCCCTGGGAACACTCAGGGCTCCAGATCATTCCACAGGCTGCCCATGCTGCTGCTGACTGCTCCATAGTGATGGACAACAGAGTGCTTAACTCAGGAAAATCAACGTGCTTTCTCAAACAATCTCCAATTCTTCTGAGCGTTTCCAGTGGGCCTTACAGAGTGACTAATGGTAGAATTCCAGGCATCCTGGTACACACTGTTAGAGGGAGGGAGTCACCCACTTGGCCTATGGGTATTGCCAGTGGAGGGACAGAAATGCTGGGCCAGGATGACCTCACCTGCTTCTCCAGCAGCATACCAGCAAACCCATGGGGTAGAGTCCTACCAGCATGCACACGGCCCTCTGTGACTATGTGGGGCCTTCTGGAAGAACCTGGGAGATGAGGCAAGGCTCTTCCCAAGGACAAGGTTTGCACAGGCATGGCGCCTTCCCAGGGGCAACGCTCTCTTAGGGGTATAGCCTTTGCAGATATGGGGCTGTTCCCAAGGGTGGGGCCCTTCCCAGGGGCAGAGCCTGGCCTCACCTGCTCACTAGGTCCACAAAAAGGTGTCTTAGGACCAGTGGGGAAGGCCGGCCGGAACTTATACATGGCAGGTGTTGGAGGACTGGTTCTCTGCACTGATAGGGCACTCTCTGAGAAGAGGGACCACAGTCAGTCAGGGGCTGGATAACACAAAGGTCAGGCCATAACTTTCTCCCCAGCTGTCCTCCACCTTACCTGCACTGCCTGGTCTTGGGGTCTTCAAGTCTCCTCCAAAGGTGCCAGCCTCTATCTTAGGGGGCAGTGGTGGTCCAAGGTCCAGAGGTTTCTCATCCAGCTGGTCTAAGCTGCCCTTGGACTAGGGAAGGGGGAAGCAGTGGTAGGTAGGGCTTGGGCAAGAAGTGGGCTCTTAATGGTTTTCTCCGGTGACTCTGGGACACAGTCAGAAAACTTGCCCAGCCCTTCCTCCTCCTCTTCTTCATGTCTCCTTACCCCCACCACAGAGCCCAACTCCCACTCCTCTTACTGTGCCAGTCCAGACCCCCACCTTGCTGCGGCCAGCCTTCAGCCCATTGTCGCTGAGTTTAACCTTGAGGGGCACGGCTCGCTCCAGGAGCTCAGGCCGGAGGAAGGGTGGCTTCAGGCTCACTGAGAGTGGCAGCCTGGGGGGCTCCACCACGTACCTATGCCAGGGCAGAGCGATCAGTGGCCAGGAAAGCAGGCTATGAACACACATCAAGGGCAGGGCCAGTCCCACCTGGTCAGACTAGAAAGGGATCAGGCTGAGGGTCTAAGGCTGCCCACCCCACACCGGCCCCCTTGCCCTCCTGCCTAGGCCAATCCTTACCGGGGTGCCAGGGGGCTGCATAGCACATGCTCCACGTTCCCACAGCAGCCTCGGGTGAAAGGATTCACACCCCCACGGAACTTCCCAGTCACCTGTGGACATGGGACCCCCTCAGCCAGCCTAGTCACCCAGGGCTCAATCCAGGGCAAGACAGGGGGATAGGAAAGGGCAAGTGGGGTCCTCATTGGAGGCAGCTTGGGCACAGTGGGCCCAGCAGTGTCCTATACCCAGCTCATCCTAGCCTGCCTTTATAGGGGGCTGTGGCATCTCCAGGCCCTGAGTTTGTGGCTGCCATGTCCACAGACAGCAAGTGTATAAGAGATGGGTAACCATGATTCACCCTGAGCCCCTCCCTACCACAGCTGCCGCTTACATCACACAAGGATTCCTGAAGCCCAGTCTATAGGGTTTGTACCTGCTCATTGGTGGTACGCCCCCGCGTGACCAGCACCACATGAAAGCCAGTGAGGCCAATGACAGGAATGAAGAAGAGGCCAGCCACACACATGACAGCCATGCTGGCCCGTTAAGGCCAACAACTGAGGCAAGGATGTGGAGACCCCATTGCAGTGACATTGAGCAGGTGCACTTCCCCTCTCAACTAAGCATAGCCACTTCTACTGGAACCCACATGTCCACTGACTCCACCAAGGCCCACCCCCCACCCCAACACACTGCCTTGGGCTGGACCACATGGAGATCAAGGATACGTGATGGTGGTGTGGGCGGCTCCCAGCCCCTCTGAGTGGTTCAGCACGTAGACTAGTCCAAAGGCCACGACACCCACCATGTGCGCACTGAGTGACAGCAGGAACAGGAAGAAGTAACGGTAGTTGCGGCGCCCGATGCAGTTGTTGACCCAGGGACAGTGATGGTCAAAGTCCTGGTAGAGGCAGTGCGTCAGAGCACATGGAAGGTAGGGACCATGCACGGGGCCTGGCAGGGGCGGGGGACAGGGGGAGGTCACCTCTACACAGTTGTCGCAGACACTGCAGTGCGAGCAGCGTGGTGGACGGTAGAAGTGGCATGTTGCACACCACTTCATGCGGACCTGGATGCCCCGCACATCCACATTCTTGTACAGTGGGGCTCGGAAGTCATCTTCCTTGTCCTCGTCCTCGTCCGCTGAATATCAGGAGCCAGGTAGGGTGGCAGGAGGACAAGGAGGTGAATCCCCTTGCAGTAGGGCCTCTCTAATCTCTGCTCAAGCCCACCCGCTAGGACTCCCAAATCAGCCACTTAACACAGTAATGAAAATGAACAGATGAGCTGTCCCAATACAGGGCCCTACCTCGGGGAAAGACTCCAGGATCCATGAAGGTGGCCATACTGAAGTTGGCCAGGACAAAGAGGAAGATGATGCCATTGTAGACAGGAATGGCTGGAGACACAGCTCTTGTCAACCATGGGCACCTGTAATGGACAGTGGGCAGAGGGCTGGGTGGGGGATACATGGGAGGCAAGGGCAGTTATGAGACATAGCTATATGATGCTAAGCCTGCCAGGCCACTGGGCAATGACATCACAGCAGCAGATCTTAGCCCATTGGTACTCTTTGGTTGTACCCAGTATGTGGGCTCCCCTCGTGCCAACTCTGATCCTGGCAGCCCCCCAGGGGCACTGTCTAAAACACAATTCATAGCTGATGAAATAGGCTCAGACATGCCCATCAGCCTGGGGTCACACCACTGGGGGACAGTCACAGGACTAAGCCACCCTAGATGCAATTTGCCCAGGCCAGTATACTTCTGAGGGACCCAGAGAGAAGTGAGAACATATACCACCCAGATACTACTACAGGCAGAGGCCACCCCATAGCTTGGGTGAGCCAATGCCTTACCAAAGCTGTCCCCAGCCTGGCAAGGGACCTCTCACCAGAGATATTCCAAGGTTTGGAGAGCCCCACACCTAGTTGAGCCAGCCTGAGGCAGGCACAGCCTCCTGCTTTTTCTGGAGGGGCACAGTCCTGGTCCAGGCAGCCCCTTCTTTTGGGTTTGTCACCTTGTCCAGATGGCAGCACAGAGAGCCTAGAGACTAGAAAAGCACAAGTCTCCAATGTGTCACATTTCTCACCACCCTGTGACATTGCTACCAAGGCTGCCTGCTCTTCCAGGAAGCTTTCCAGGGCTTCTGGCTTCTCTCCACAGGGAAAGGAAGGGTCTTGCCTACCTCCCTAAGCAGGCCTGCCTCAGTCCTCACAGAGCCTGACCAGAATCCTTCCACAGTGACAAGCCAGGCCTCAAGCCTCCAGCTCTGACCCTTTGGTGGGTTCCTGAGTCTATCCACTGAACCCCCAAGTAGCTCCTCTGGCCTCAGGCTCCTAGGTCCTCCTTCTGTGTGTCCTGCTGTAATGGGGTATACACAGGGGTTCACTTTCCTGCCTGCATTCAGCCCTCTATGTAGTCAGGCTGGTGGAGATTCCCCCATGGCTGCCCTGACCCTGACACCACAGGATGGAGTGACGGTGGCCACCTGCTGGGCCCGCGGCTATCCACCAGAGCGCACACAGTCCACGCTGTGTGCCCACGCCTGCCTTGGCCAGGAGCCAGGCCCGCCGCCCCAGCAACCACCTCCATGGCAGCAGAACTATTTTTAGTGGGAAGCAAGAGGCTATTTAAAGCTGCTGCTTCCCACGGCAGCACCCTCTATGGCGCCAAGAGCCACGATACCCCTTCCTCTTCTCCAGGCCAGCATGGACACACAGTGTGACAACACAGGCCATGGCCCCAAAGGGTTCAGCAAGATCTTCCTCCAGCACACCCATCCTGGCAGCCTGGAGTGCTCACTCCTCACATGCCATCCTTCTGCATGCCCCATCCCAGCCTGACACACAGATGGCACCAAAGACATGTATGTGACCTCCTAGCCATGCTGTTCAGCAACAGTGACACCCTAAGTGGCCAGCCCAGCAGGCAGGGGAGAGACATCCCTGAGAGAAGCTCCCTGTAGCAACTGACAGAGGGGCCAGTTCTACTCTGGGTGAGGAGTGAAAATGCAGACCCCATGTTAGAAAGTCAAGGACACAGCATTAAACCCTAGCATTGTTCACAGAAAAGGTGAGGGGTCCCTGGGCAGCTGTAGATGAGATGAACAAACACACAGACATGAGTTGGGAGGCAGCAGGTGGGGGATGGCACATGGGGAGACCAGGCATGGGTTTTAGGACCTTTCCTACATGATACATCATGCCCTTGGTCTTCCTGGCCATGAGGTAGGTAACAACTGCTGTCCTCCCTTTATAAACAAGCAGCTGAAGACCAGAGGTGTCAGGGCCAGACTGCCCCTCGGGCCCTCGCTTGGGCTGGCCTCAGAAGTGCACTCTCCATGAGGCAGGAAGGGTCTGACTCCCAGTGCTGGTGAGAGCTCCTTCTAGCCTGGCAGCCTGTACTGCTGTGCCTCCTTGAGCCTTGAGCTCCCCACAATGCCAGGTAGGCTGAACGGCAGCCCTTAGTGAGATGCCTGAGAGGCACAAAAGAACAGCCCCCAGAGTCAGGTTTGGTGATTTGTACTGATGGGGCAGCACTGCACACAGTTTCTGGGCAGGCTCTGTCCAGCAGGAACACTGCCTGCCTAAACTCCTGGCAGGGCTAGTGGGGGCCTTAGCTACATCAGAAGGCCTGATGTTCTTTGACTTGGGACCTGGGTGATCATCCTTGTATCCTCTCTAGCCCCTCAGCCCTGAAATGATCCTGGGACCAAGCATCTGTCCTCCAGCAGGTGCTGTTAGGAGCTCTCTCCCTGGATATCCCCTCTAAGGTGAACAGGCCCTGTGGCCTACCCTCCAGAGCCCAGATAGAGCCCAGATAGAGCAGGGACAGAACAGAGAAAAGAGCACATACAGGCACATGCACATATACACATGCACATAAACACTCTCCAAGGCATACACACACAGAGGTGTGTGTGTATGCACACATGAGCATAATTATGCAGCTCACACACATTTAAAAGCACAGACAACCATTCTACATGCAGGAACACATACAGTCTCAGGCAAGACGGCTTGCATGCAAATACGCCCTATGGGCACAAACATCATACACACACATCTGTACATTTACTCATGCACAGAGACTGCCACATAAGAACATACCCCTCCCCCACCTTCTCCCTCAGACTTGTCTAACCCAGCTCAGCTGTCCACTGCCTTGGGACTCAGGTAAGCTCTCTGCCTCTCTGGGCTTCACATTGCCCCCACAGACAGGGAAAGCATGAGCACTAAAGACAGGAAAGGATGTGTGAGGACATTCAGAGACACAGAAGGATACTCGAGGACATGCCAGCTCTCCCTCAGGACCTGGCAGACAGTATTAGGTGTATATTTGCATTAGCCCTCTGCTCAAGAAAGCTGCCATGCCTACTTGTGGAAATGATACCCCATTCCAGCCTAAGCCTGACATACACACTAGACTGGCCCCGCCCTGGCTGGCTCCAGGAGGTCCCACCTGCAGCCCAGGTCATATACTCCTGCAGGCATCACTTTGAGTCCTGAGCTTGAAGGAAGGTCAGAAAAAGAAAGGCAGACTGCAGGCCCTGTGTACAGATGGGGCATATGGCCTTCAGGAAGACAGGCAGCCCCACTCCCATGTCCGTCAGACCCTTCCCCGCTGGCTCAAGACCTGCTAGGGACTGAAGAAAGCCAGGGTTCCCAGCTCTGGGGCTCCAAGCACTCCAGGTCTGCACTGTCTCCTGAGCAACAGGAACGTGGGGCAGAACACAAGCCACCACTATGTGCCCCACCCAGGTGGAGGTCCCAAGTACTGCCTTGGCCAGTAGAGAGACACCGCCCAGTGAGGGGGTGACTTCAGGGGCAGAATGTCTGCCAAGGCTAAATGTGGAATGGAAAATTTTAACTCAGATGTTTTCATTTAATAAGGTTCTTCATTAACACTGCATCTGAGAGAATCACTGGCCCATCTGGGCATCCAGGGCCCACAAATCAGCAGCCACTCACCATGGTCATCCTAGGAGGGGTCTTTAGTCTGTGAAGCAGATGCACCCAACTGTCCAATCCCTAGGTATCTGGGTAGATGGGGAAACTGTGAGGCTCAGAAGACCAGTGATTCCACTGCACAAGCAGGACATCCTAGCAGCCTCTTCCCATGATGCACTTTCTATCTAGTTCCCCTCGCCCCGACTCCTACCCCCTGCCCTGACTGCCAGGGGCCCAGATCGGGATTGTCTGCTGTCCAAGGCTAGGTTTCTAAGCATGGAGATGGCTCAGGCTCACCGGGGAACGCAGGTTCCCAAATGATCTAACATGGCTCTGGGATTAGCAGCCTGCCAACAGCCCCCCACCCTCTGGCATGCACAGTCCATGCCTCTTTGAAAAGCCTGGCCTGGAGGAGGTTTTTGGACCCATACCAGCACCTGACCCTGCCTGACATTGTACCACAGAGGGAAGGGCTCTGGGACCCTAAGGATGGTGGACACAAATCTCACCAGGAGCCCAGGAAGGTTTCCTGGGAGAGGGTCTCTCATACTCCCACCCTGTCCTCAGAAACAGTACATCCCACATTGCACATTCTGCCCACCCCCAGCCTCTCCTGGAGACATGTCTACATGTCCTGTTGTGCCTACACGGTTGGTAAACTGGCTGGGGAGAGTCCCTGATTCTTCAGGCCTCAGGTTCCCCATCATGGGTGACCCATGTCCCCTTGGCATATGAGTGGATTGTGTCCTGAGAAGCAGTTCATACCCAGTAGTGCAGACGAGATCTGAGGGCCACTCACTGCTAGGTAAAGCTTCAGGAAGAAATAGAAGGCAGGACCCTAGATAGTCCCCATGGGCAGGACGGGAAACTACTCCCCTTTCTTGGCACCGGCAGTGGACACAGGGCAGGAAGGAGGCAATGGGCCTATCCTGAAAAAGACCTACCCGACATGGCCACCAGACCTGCCTGGATCCTGGCATACCCACCATCAGGAGAGCCACCCAGCAGAGCCCCTTCTTAGGATTAATAGCAACCTGGAGTCCCCCAATACAACCAAGGCGGGACAGGTTGAGGACCCCATTGGTTATTTAGCCCCAGGCCCATACCCACTTTGAGGGTGCATCATTTCCTGGACCCAAGGGGCAAATGAGGTTCCTAAGTCTCTTTAGATGGCTATTGCATATGGACTCAGCAGTGCCCAGGTCATGCCACCTTCTCTGAGGTACAAGACCAGCTGGGGTCAGCATGGGCTACACACAGGTTGAGATGATGTCCTCTAAAGAGAAGCCCACACCTCAAGAGCACCAACATCCGTTACCCTAGAAGTCCAGCTTCAAGACAGCTGAGGAAACATTGACCAGCAGAGTGGTAGCAATTCAGTACCAAAGCCTGGGGATGGGTCAAGTTCACAGGAACTGCCACAGAAGTGCCCTTTGAAATCACAGGAGCCCTCTGAGGAGGAGGAGAGGAGAACAGAGCGCTAGGGCAGAGGATTTTAATTTCTCTTAAAACTTTTACCCCTGCATTACACAAGTTCTCTCCAGTGAACATGTCAAAAATTTAAAGTTAGTAAGAAAAGACACAGAACTGCACCTGAGATACCAGACATAACCCCAGTCCAACCTCTGGGGGTGCTGAACTGGGCCCCACCTCTCCAGAAGCTTCCCAAGATGTGTTCCCTCCAGTCTTAGCTCCCCAAGCCCACCTACCATCCACCCCTCCCTGTCCCACAGTCAGTAATATCTGAGTGACAAGAACATGCAGACTCTCTAGAGCCAGAAATAAGCCCATCCACACAGGCCTTTTTTAAACACTCTCTTTTCAGCCTGAGGCATCCACCCAACCCCAGGCTCCAGGTAGGGGCTCTCCTCCCTACACAGGCAATGAATTCCGACTCCCACAAATGCTGTAGGCTCTACAAAGTGGAAAGAAGAGTTCCTGTCCACCCCAGGCTCACTCATGCCCAGGACTGTACCACCTGGGAAAAAGTGGTCATTGCTCTGGCCACCTGGGCTGTGGAAGGAAGTGGGTGTATCAGGGATCCTTAAGATTGAACTAGGATTACACTTCTCCCAATTTGTCCTCAAGCATCCCTGGGGTAACCCTGTGACCTACAAGCTAGCCTGTGTCAAGAAATTGAGGCTGGAGCTGTTGGGTGCCAGGCTAGTTAGGGTGCCTCCTCCCCAAAACTGGAGGCCTGGCCTCTGAGGTCTCGGTGTCCCCCATAGCTGGCTCACAGCAGTGTAAGCATGGGTTCCAGGATGTCGCTTGGCCTGGCCCCTTCCACAGTGAACACCCCTGGTGCCTTCTCAGGAGAATGGCCCAGGGAGGCAGGGCGCTAGCTAGGCCAGAGTGGCCAGTGACAGTGGGGCAGGCCACACCTACGCGAGAATAACTTGGCTCTGGCCTGGGGCCGGCCAGAAACTCCCACTCTGCCTGTAAGGAGGACTGGTGGCTCTTGGTGCCCCGGGTCCCCCATGAGCCCTGTGGCAGGGAAGGGCTACAGCCACACCCAGGGCCTGCCTAGAATACTCAGAGGTGCCAGGCCAGCACTACTGTCCCCCACACCTGTCCGCGAAACCCCAAGACGTGGGCTATGGGCCGCAGCGCCAAATCCCGGAGTTGGGGCGCGCCTTGCCGGCGGCAGGCGGCCGCCCCACTTGCCCCACCCCGTCCCTGCCCCGCCCAGCCCACCGGAACTGCCCGGTCCCCCGGGGCATATTGCCCACCCTGCCCCTCGTCCACACCAGGGCTGGCGAAGGACGCCGTGCCGACTCACGTGAACACGAAGAACAGGGTGCTGGAGCCGACCAGCAGCGCGGCGGCCGTGGCCACCGGGATGTACTTGGCGGGTTTGAGGCGCGTCCCGGGGCTGCGGGGCATCCTGGGCACCGCGCCGCCGCATCCCTCCCCGGGGCCGGGCGGGCGGGGCC